CTGGAGACGATCTGGAATTCATCCTTTTAAAATCCTCACGTAAAAAATTCTCTTTTTTATTTAATTTAATTTTTTTTCCTTTAGTTTTTTGGGTCGTACAGCTCCACCCCCCAGCTGGAGACGAGCTGGAATTCATAATTTTAAAATCCTCACTTAGAAAATTCTCTTTTTTAATTTAATTTAAATTTTTTTTTTTCTTTTAGTTTTTCAGACCTTACAGCTCCACCCCCCAGCTGGAGACGATCTGGGATCCATCATTTTAAAATCCTCACATAGAAAATCCTATTTTTAATTTAATTTATTTATTTTTTCTTTTAGTTTTTTGGATCTTACAGCTCCACCCCCCTGCTGGAGACGATCTGGAATTCATCCTTTCAAAACCCTCACTTAGAAAAATTCTCTTTTTAATTTAAATTTTTTTTTTTTCCTTTTAGTTTTTCGGTTCTTACAGCTCCACCCCCCTGCTGGAGACGGACGAGGGATGATCTGAGATTCATCCTTTGAAAATCTTCACTTAGAAAAATCCTCTTTTTTAATTTAATTTATTTTTTTTTCCTTTTAGTTTTTCGGACCTTACAGCTCCACCCCCCTGCTGGAGACGATCTGAAATTCATCCTTTCAAAACCCTCACATAGAAAAACCTTTTTTAATTCAATTTTTTTTTTTTTTTCCTTTCAGTTTTTCGGATCTTACAGCTCCACCCCCCTGCTGGAGACGATCTGGAATTCATCCTTTTAAAATCCTCACCTAGAAAATTCTCTTTTTTAATTTAATTTAAATTTTTTTTTTCTTTTAGTTTTTCGGTTCTTACAGCTCCACCCCCCTGCTGGAGACGGACGAGGGATGATCTGAGATTCATCCTTTGAAAATCTTCTCTTAGAAAAATTCTCTTTTTAATTTAATTTAATTTTTTTTCCTTTAGTTTTTCGGGTCTTACAGCTCCACCCCCCTACTGGAGACGATCTGGAATTCATCCTTTTAAAACCCTCACATAGAAAATCCTATTTTTAATTCAATTTATTTTTTTTTTCCTTTTAGTTTTTCGGGTCTTACAGCTCCACCCCCCTGCTGGAGACGATCTGAAATTCATCCTTTCAAAACCCTCACATAGAAAAACCTTTTTTAATTCCATTTTTTTTTTTTTTCCTTTTCAGTTTTTCGGATCTTACAGCTCCACCCCCCTGCTGGAGACGGACGAGCGTTACCGACATTTGGGATTTTCCGTGGATGATCTGGGATGCTGCAAAGTCATCAGGCACAACCTTTGGGGTACCCACGTGCTTTTGGGGACCATTTTTACCAACGCTGAACCCCAAAGTCCCATCATGAGAAAACTCGGGGGGAATTAAACCCTCGTTTCCAGATGTTCTTTAGAAAATAAAATTTATTTTGGAGGGTGGTTTTTTTGTTGTTGTTGGTTTGTTTTTTTTTTTTTTTTCTGTATTCTCTTAACTTCCACAACTCTGCCGTTCACAGCTCAACTTTTCCATTCAAAAATCAAAAATTTCCAACGAATCTTCCATTTCTGGAATTAAGAACTGGCCAAAAAAAAACCCCAAAAAATAAAAAAATGGAATGACTCATAAAATTGTTGTCTCTGGGCTGATCACTCATTTTCTGTTGGAAAATAATGAGATCAACTTTCAACTTTTCATCCTTAATTACCCTGGAATTACTCATCTCTCATTGTTGTTTTTTTTTTTGTCTTCATGGTGCTTGGGATTTATTTTTTTCAGTGTTAGTTCAATATATTTAATTAGTTTCTATATCTAAATGGAATTTCCAGTCGTTTTTGTAACTTTCTTAAGTCATTAAATACCAAAAAAAAAAAAAAAAAAAAATAGGGGAAATGCTTGGATCACATCAATGGGGCAACAGCAGGGCAAAGAATTCCTGAATTTTCATGCCTTAAAATTTAAAAAAAAAAATCAAATTTTCATCTCGTGCCAAGCACTTTTGGAGCCATTTTTTATGGAATAATGGGAATTTTTATTATTTTTATATTTTTTTTTTAATTCCATGCCAATGTTCTGCAGCTCAGCCTGCAGGAGGATCCAAAAATTGGGATTTTATTTTTTATTTCATGGGGTTTTATAGATTCCAAACCTCTAAGCATCTCCAAATGTTTTCCTGGAATTCCTGTATTTTGGAAAGGTTGGGATCTATCAGGATATTCCACTTAAATTTGGGGTTTTTCAGATTCTTTTTAACTTTTGTCCTGTAAAGGAATTTTCCAATTTTTTTTTTTTTTTTTTTTTTTTTTTCCCCCCAGAAATCTCACTGGAAATGTTGGGAGTTTTGCCTTAATTTCATTAATATTAATTAATTTTATATCAAGAGTTTGAAGGGAGATCCAATTCCTGATATTTCAATAAAATTTTCTCCTTAATTCCCAAAAAAACACCTGGAGCTGTTCCAATTCTTGTTTTCCTCCCATCAAAATTTAGGAACTTTCTCCTAGAAAATCACCAATGAAATAAATGACAATTAAAAAAAAAAAAAAATCGATAATTTATTATCTAATAAAATCCAAACCAACTTCCAGGATTCCAAAATTTTTTTTTCTTTTCCAGGGCAAAGAAATCAAAGAATTTTTGTGAGGTTTGGATGGTCCTGGGGTGTTTATTGGGATTGGAATTTTCTTTTTTTTCTTTTTTTTTCTTTTTTTTTTTTTTCCCCACCTGAAGCCTCCTCTGGGATCTCTTTGGATCAAATTTATTTATTTATTTGTTTATTTATTCCCCTTTATATTCTCTTTATTTCTTCCTTTTCATTTTATATCCCCTTTATTTATTCCTTTTTATTTGATATCCTCTTTATTTATTCCTTTTTATTTATTCCTTTTTATTTATTCCTCTTTATTTATTCCTCTTTAATTTATATCCTCTTTATTTATTCCTCTATTTGATATCCTCTATTTCCTCTTTATTTGATTTCCTCTTTATATTCTCTTTATTTCTTCCTTTATTTTATATCCTCTTTATTTGATATCCTCTTTATTTATTCCTTTTTATTTTATATTCTCTTTATTCATTCCTCTTTAATTATTCCTTTTTATTTTCTTTCCTCTTTATTTATTCTTTTTTTCTTTTATATCTTCTTTATTTATTCCTCCATTTTATATCCTATTAATTCCTCTTTATTTGATTTCCTCTTTATTTATTCCTCTTTATATTCTCTTTATTTATTTCTCTATTTTCTATTCTCTTTAATTTATATCCTCTTTATTTATTCCTTTTCATTTTATATCCTATTTATTTATTCCTTTTTATTTGATATTCTCTTTATTCCTTTTTATTTGATATCCTCTTTATTTCTTCCTCTTTATTTGATATCCTCATTTATTCCTTTTTATTTTATATCCTCCTTATTTATTCCTTTTTATATTCTATTTATTCCTTTTTATTTTATATCCTCTTTATTTCTTCCTCTTGATATCCTCTATTTATTCCTTTTTTTTGTCATATCCTCTTTATTTATTCCTCATTATTTTACATCCTCTTTATTAATTATTACATAGGAATTTTATTCCCCTGCTCCTCAACAAGTGCAGCATTTCCCATTTCTATATAAATAAATTTAATTTTTAATCTATTTCTATTAAACTGTGCTTAACTCAGAGAGAGCAAATTAAAAAAAAAAAAAAAATTCCAATTAATATTCCACATTTTGTCCCATGGGGGGAGTAAAAATCCTGCAGAAATCGAAATAAATGTGAGAAAACATTTGGAAAAAAAAAATCAGTATAAACCACCCAGGATTGATTTTTCGAAATATATTATCTAAAAATGGATCATCTGTATGGAAACGTTAAAATCTATTAATTTTACAGAAAAATGAATGTAAAAATAAATGTATAAAAAATTCATTAGGGCAGAAGGAAACTCTGCAGGGCAGTTCTTGAGGGTGCAGAAATTCAATTTATTTGCGGGTTTATTTGGTCTGCTCATCTTTGCTCCCTGCGTTTAAAATGGAGAAAGAGAAAATTCCAGGAATATTGGAAAAAGGAAAAAAAAAAAATATTAAAAAAGAAATTAGAAATAGAAATAAAAGTAAAAATAAAAGTAAAAATAGAAATAAAATAAAAGTAAAAATGAAAATAAAGTAAAAATAAAAGTAGAAATAAAAGTAAAAAATAAAAGTAAAAATAAAAATAAAAAATAAAAATTAAAATTAAATTAAAAAGAAAAATAAAAATGAAATTTAAATAAAAATAGAAATAAAAATAAATAAAAATAAACATAAATAAAAATAAAATTAAAAATAAAAAATAAATTAATAAAAAGAAAAGTAAAAATAGAAATAAAAATAAACATAAAAATAAATTTAAAATAGAAATAATAATAAAAATAAATTAAAAATAGAAATAAAAATAAAAATAAAAGTAAAAACAAAAATAAAAATAAAAATAAAAACAAATAAAAATAAAAAGTAAAAATAAAAAATAAATTAATAAAAAAGTAAAAATAAAAATAGAAATAAAAATAAACATAAAAATAAATTAAAAATAGAAATAATAATAAAAATAAATTAAAACTAGAAATAAAAATAAATTAAAAATAAAAATAAAAGTAAAAACAAAAATAAAAATAAAAATAAATAAAAATAAAAGTAAAAATAAAAAATAAATTAATAAAAGTAAAAATAAAAATAGAAATAGAAATAAACACAAAAATAAATTTAAAATAGAAATAATAATAAAAATAAATTAAAACTAGAAATAAAAATAAATTAAAAATAAAAATAAAAGTAAAAATAAAAAATAAATTAATAAAAATTAAAAATAAAAGTGAAAATAAAAATAGAAATAAAAATAAACATAAAAATAAATTTAAAATAGAAATAATAATAAAAATAAATTAAAAATAGAAATAAAAATAAATTAAAAATAAAAATAAAAGTAAAAATAAAAAATAAAAATAAATAAAAATAAAAATTTCATTTATTTGTTTCTTAATTTCTGCAGCGATTTTTGTGGGAAATGTTCTTTATGTTTTGGTTTCTTGGATTTATTAATTTGAATTTTTTTTATTTTTTTTTTTAAATTGTGAGATAAGATCAGGAGAAATTAATTCGCTTTCCTTTTAAACGGTGCAAAGAGAAACTTCATTATTAGAAATTATTTAAAAAAAAATAAATAAATTTCGAATAAAAACTTGAGACCGATTTTTTTTTTTCATCCCCCTTTTCCTTCCATCCCAAAAAAACCCAAAAAAATCCCCAAAATTGAGCTGGATTTAGAGAATTTGATTTTAATTTTAATTCCCCCTAGAAATAAAAATAATAAATAATTTAAAATAATAAATAATAAATAATAAATAATAAATAATAAATAAATAAATAAATAAGAATTAATAATTAAAAAATAATGAATCATCCCCATGTTGAACTCCAGGAGTTACAAATTCTTTCTTTCTAAATTTATTTCGATTTATTTCGATTTTTTTTTTTATTTTGGAATCTT